CCATATCCTTCCCTTTCTTCCATTTAAGGAGCTGTAATAGATCCCTGATACAAGTTCGGTGGACTTGTTTAAGCAACCTTCCTACGCCAACGAAACCAATCAACAAACCAAAATAAAATTCGTGGAGTCTTATTTTTATTTAATTTGGAAAACTGTGTTGTTTTAACGTAAGGCTTGTGGCCCATTGTAGGCTTCTATTTTCTTGTGGTGTGGGCGGGTGGTGTTTTAGATAGTAATGCATCACCTCAAGTGTTTCCTCAAAGTCAAACGAGGCCCTTTGCTCAATTCTGAAATTCTGATTTCATATTTATCTAACAAAACCTTTAGATGTATTACATGTACAAATAGTAATTCAAGTGTATTCAAATCGATGCTACTTGATAACGCATGTTGTGCAAATCTCCATAGAACGCGCGGAGAATATGTTAGATATTGCCGCGTATAAATATGTAGAAATATTTTCTATAAGATGTAAACACTTAAAAAGTCTAAGATCCAGTTTACAGTTTGATTAAGTAACGTGGAAGAGATAGTAAGGGATGGATTTAGTCACTGATACGGAACGAAAAATAAGTAACATAGAAATACAAATTAAGCAATGTTTTTACTATTTATCACAAAGGGAAAAATTCAGCTTTTGATCATCAAATGACATTTCGTTTTGAGTCGATAGTTTCCATAATATAACAAGACAACATAATACTATATTAAATAATTGCTTTTTGTTAAAAAGCCATAGTTACAAAATAAAAATATTGTTGCTGATATTTGTAATGCAAAATTAGAGCGATTTATGAAATGTTACTTGCACTTAAGTCTGCTCCTAACGAGGGGGCCGTGGTAGCCAAATGGTTATAATCAGCGGTCGCCAAACTTTTTGACCTCACGGATCACTAATAGGATTTTGTGAATGTTAAATATGTTAATTAAAAATAATTGTGATCTAAGAACGCAATCAATGCATCTTAACTCTCTGTCCGTAATATCCGTCCCTCAGACGGGGATGATTTGCATTAATGCCTGTTGATAATGCTGTGGTGTGATTTTGGGGGTGGGCTGCCTTGACATCTTCAGTTGGACTCTACCCAGTGAGAGGATCCCGTGGTGGTACTTGGCGATTTTTTTCAACACACGATATGTGTGATTTTTCTTGTCTATCATACCGATATTTCTATGGGTTTTTTTTCGTTTTTTTGATATTATTTTTAATTATTTTTACATGAATATAAATAATTTCTGTTTTTATAAAAATACTAGTCACAATTCTAGTGATTAAAATACATTGTTGTGCTTGATTTAACCCCACACATCTTATTTGAGTCGTACTCAATTTCATGAGCTATAAGGACATTTAAAACAGTCCTTAAGGTAATAAAATTCAAAAAAATTTACGTACCCGTCTGTCAGACGGATGTTTCTCAGTGTGGCAAAAAAATTGATGTTCCGGCCAGAGAGTTAAGACATAACTTAACATGATTAGAGACAAAATTCCATATTTTTCTGGGGACCAGCGAAATTTCTTCGCGGACCACCACTTTGGCGACCTCTGGTTATGATCACGATTTCGTGGCTAGATCCGGCGTGTAGGAATGCTGATGCACGTTGAAGTTATCTAGGCTAAATTTCCTCTCTGGATGTGGTGTAATAGTTTAGAGAAGAGTTTTACCTGTTCAGGTGTCGTTCTCGTCGTTTGACCGATGTTGAAAATTACGAAATCAGACTACAATAGTCCTTATGTTGCTTCTTTGTAGTGCGATGTTTATGAAGCTCACTCAATCCGCTTCTTATGATTTTTTTGTCAGAACTTTCGTCGTCTTCCTACTTTGAAATGTCTGCGGGTGTTAAGGTAATAAGATGGCGCTGTGTTTTAATAGCAGTGTTGGGCAATTGTATCCCCGATAGTGTGGGGGAATTATGTGTATGGCAGGAGAGAGAGTAGCATATGAGGTAGAATCTGAGAGTAGAGTTTGTGAGGTAGTTAGTAGTTGTAAAATAAAATTATTATTTGTTATTAGAGTGGCAGTTAGTTTTAGATAGTATCATCATCACAGCGGGGATTTAATTTGGCCACACCTCTTCAATACCATAAGACATAATAATTGCTACTGACCAGCAGTGTTTCACACAGAAATTTTTCAGGGGGGTTCCAGGGTTGAGAGTCCACCATTCTCGTATTGTATCCCCCATAAGCCACCAACCAAATTATTTTGATTTTATCGATTGACGAAACAAAAAAACAGTAAAAGATAAATTATTGAATAAATAATTAGCATAAATTAATAAAACTAATTATCAATAACAAATATTTAATTAAATTTTGCGTACTATATACATGGGATTATATACAATTGGAAAAAAATCAAGGGAGATGGGGGATGTCCGGCCCCGCACCCCCTCCCCTTGTGTGTGCTACTGCTGATTAGCTGCAGCTGAAATAATAACTTCAATAATAATTGATCCTTACAACCCTCTACTGAGACGAATGAATCATCTGCAGTGATGAGAGATCTGGAGAAGCTCAAAAAATAACTGCTGTCCAATATGACTTAATTTTACAGAGTTGTTTCAAAATATATTCCAACAGTTGAGAATTCGCATAGGTTTAAAAGAGTGGAGTGGGAATTTTTAAGTTCCTTTTTTAATTTTGATCGTTAACTCAATTTATTCGTTGTATTGACAAATATTTCACTTTTGGCTTTCCATATGAATTAACCTAGAGTTAGAAACTACAAATTAACTCTGGAATATCATAGAAGAAACCCTAAATAAGAAATAAAAACAAATAAAGGTGGAAACGAAACTTTGCTGCAGTCAAGGTAAAGCCTTCCACTAGCCTTGTAAGATGAGGCCAAGTCTTTACAAAGAAATCAGCAGACTTGCGTCCCTTTGGTTGGCGAAGACCTTCGGAATTCATTCCCATCTTTGATTAGGAGGTGATTACGCCTTTGAAAAGACTATATATGAAAAGTATTCATTCACATATTTGTAACCACGGTAGCTAAGTGGTCATGGTCGTGAACTCATGACCAACGTTGGTGCATGTTGCATTGTGGGTTCTAGATAGGGTGTCACTGCAGACTCTTCGTGTAGAGCTGTGCTCCCAAACCTTTTTATCGACAAAGACCGGTCAACGTTTGATAATTTTTCCGCGGCCATCTAAGGCGTGAAATGTTGTTTATATTTTAAACTATTTTAAACTATTTTTATTTATTAATTTTAATTTAATTGTATTTAAACATGCCTTCAAAATAAAATGCAGTTACACCAAAAAATAAATATGAAGTGATTTAACATTGAATACAATATATATATATATATATATACACTCAGGAACATTGAAAATAGCGACCCAAGAAGGAAGCTAAGTACAATCGCGAAACTTTGCAAATAAGTACAGTGTAATGTGATATGCAAATCATCCAAGTTTTGTGCCAATACGCATGCTCATACACGCCGAGATGGCACTACAATTAGTAAGAGGGTGCTATATAAGCCAGCGCAAATTCGAAGATTCATAAACGTGACGATCACCCGCCGATTTTAAGAAGACTTTGGTAAGCGAAACATGCCAAGTACACGTGCTAGAAGACATTTCTCACAGTTAAGCGAGTTTGAGAGAGGCCTGATCATCGGGATGAAAACTGCAGGCTGGTCGACGCACAGTGTTGCTGGCCAGGTGGATCGTTTGGAGTGTGTCTTTAGAAATTGTTGGGAGCAGTGGACACGAGAAGGTACCCACGCTTGAAAAACCGGGCCTGGAGCGACCAGGAAGACCACGATGAGATAGGATCAAAGGATCGTGCGGCAAGCACTTGTGGACCCCACAGTGACGCGTTCAACGATACGAGCAGACGTAGGCGTAGCAGTTGTTCCACAAACAATTTCCAAACACCTTGCAGAAGCAAATCTTAAATCCAAGCGCCCTTTCCGTGCACTTCCTTTAACACCGGAACATCAGCAACTGCGGCTACAGTGGTGCCAAGCCAGATCAATGTGGAATGTCACAGATTGGCAAAAGGTTGTGTTTAGTGATGAATCCCGGTTTGTTTTTGGGACAGATGATACCCGTGTACGGGTGTGGAGGCGCCCTGGTGAGCAGTACAATTCCCCCACACTGTTCTACGTCTCACTGCCCGCACAGCTGGTGTAATGGTCTGGGGGGTCATAGCCTATGATAGCCGGTCCACTTTAATTGTGATGCGTGGAACCTTAACGGACCAATGTTACGTTGATGATATTCTTCGACCCCATGTAGGACCTTTCCTAAATTATCTCCCAGGGGCAATTTTCCAGCAAGATAATGCTCGTCCGCATACAGCAAGAGTTGCTCAAGACTTCCTACGTCATTTTCAGACTCTTCCATGGCCGGCCCACTCTCCCGATTTATCCCCTGTAGAGCACGTGTGGGATCAGCTGAAACGGCAGATGCCATCGTGTCACTCTGTACATGATTTAGAGTTGGCTGTTCAAGATTTATGGGCCCATCTGCCTCAGGACAACATAAGGTTTCTAATCAACTCAATGCCGGACCGTGAGGTGGCATGTATTGCAGCTGGAAATGGTCCAACGCGCTATTGAAGTTGCCCACCCTGTATTCGTTTAATTGTCTTGTTTTTGAGATCAAGTGAATTTCTCATCTATGTCATTATGTATATTAAATTTCATTTCAATCCGATGCTTTCTTCTTGGGTCGCTATTTTCAATGTTCCTGAGTGTATATATATATATAACTATGTCAATTGCTACTTAGGTCAAAAAAGAAAAAATTTATTTCGATTATACTATTTATTAAATAATTAAAATTCATATAAATATGTGCATACCTATGACAGAATCACACTATTAAGTGTCAAAATAGAAAGCTATTTTCCTTCCCATTTTCCTTTCTACATGTTGAGTTGGACTATTATTTTGGTTTGTTTCTATTTATTCATTAATTAAATTTAATTATTCTAATAAAATAGTAAAGTAAAAATAAATCACATTCCTAGGAATTAGGCCATCCCAGGTGGGATTCGAATCCACGACCTTTGGATTAGAAGTCCAACGCGCGCGCGCGCGCTATCCATTCGCTACTGGGACACAACGAGAGATTTTCCTTTTTATATATGTGTTGGATTATTATTTTTGTTTTTTACCATTTTATTAAACTAATGTGTATTTGAAAAAAAATTATATTAACATCAAGTGTCATCCACTAGAAGTTTAAAAAAATGTATTTGAACTTGAGTGGATGAATAAAAAGTATTTTATTAACGACTGAAAATTTGCGTGAACAAGATATACATATATATAAATATAGGGAAAGTGTAAAAAAACTAATAATAGGAACTGAAAAATGGAATATATGAAGTGATTTAACATTGAATACAAAGTAATTTCTATGAAAAGCTGCACAAACCCGAGAGAAATACACCTCAGTATATAAAATAGAAATAATTTAATGTTCCTTGGGCGGCCCTGCACCATTTGATCCACGGACTGGTACCAGTCCCCGACCCAGGGGTTGAAGACTAGTGGTGTAGAGGGTTTGGAGAGTCTTAAATATGTCGAGGCTGAAAGGCCTCACGTTGGTATGTATGGTCAGTTTTTAGAGTCATTTCGTGTTACTCGACAGGGGTTTAAAACTACGAAGCTCGTCATAATTAAACCTCATGTTTTTAAATATTACATTTTTTAAAATAATAAATTAAATGTAACGAAATTTAAAATTAATTTCAAAATTAAATAATTGAATCAAATAATCGTAGGTAATTTTTATTCTTACCGTCCTCCACTCTAAAATAGAATGAAATCCCCAATTTTTTCCAGAAGAGCATAGATCCATCATTCGTATAATTACAATGATGTAATTACTTTGGACATTTTATGTTTTTTTCGCAGATTTAAAGCACAGAGATTTTAAAACAAGAAAGAGAGAGAGAGAGTTAAATTTCACTATTGGGTTTAGCATATTGATGCATGAAAATTTTAATTAAGAAAACGGTTATGTAAGTATCTGAACGGCTGATTTATTGTTTATTGATGTCGCACTTAGAAAAGAAAATGAGGATTGCATCTCTCTTAATTTTAAGCACCACTCAATTTTGATCCACGGCCAAGTGATGAGGACGATACTCACCTAATTTCCACCCAACATCACAAAATTACAATTGGAAACGAATTTTCATTCATCCTTTTCATAATTTTTTTATGACACTGAATCATAGAAAAGCATTCAAGTGTCAAAGTAAGTTGAAAGACACACCATGTGTTCTACACCTCTTCCCTTAGTGACATATGTAGTGTGCTTAATGTGTACTCTTATAGATTCATCAGAAGTTTTTCGAATTCTACGGACCACTTCAAAATCGATCCTTTAGGTTTAGTTTAAAATATTGCTGGTGACATAAACACACGAATCTTCTAACGTGTTTGAATTATAAAAATCCCTTCTTAAAATACTAGCCACTATACAAAGCAAGCATGTAAACTGATTAAAGAGGGACATAGATTGCAAGATACAATGAACCCCTAGCAGAGAGAGACCTTTTCTTTTGAATCCGGGTTGTTCATCTCTCGTTTATAATAAGATGAGAACACAATCGATTCGCTATTAAAAAATTTCTCAACGTTATGTGTACATTCCAAGTCTTCCCCATTGTTTTAAGACCATTGACGTCTGATTTCTATAATCGAAGGTTCCGATCTTCAGACGATGAACGGATCTCGGTGTGTGAACCGGTTCGCTTGACCGCGCTACCATCCGAAGTGGGGCAGTTTCCCACCCATGGGGTGGGGAGTGACCACACACGCCCAGGCCGGGAGGAATGCGGGTCAAGCGAGCATCCTTCACCAACTTTCCTCTGGGAAGGCTGCATACAATGGCTGGCCCCAAGAACAAAAGCGAAACGAGCACACACAACCATCATGGTTAGAGAAAGTAGCTCTCTTCCTTGAAGGCTGTATCCAATGTCTGGACTCTAGTAGGAAGTCGTATAATACAGCGAGAAGAATTCTGCCATTCACAGAAAGTTGTTGGTTTTACTAAATTGACTAAGTGCGTGCTTAGAACTGATCTATAATTAAAAGAAAAAACCTACTTACTAGAAGATTATGTCGGTCAAAATGCATACTTCCGCATCATAAAGAGGCCGCGGTACTCGAGTGTTCATGGTCGCGGAAGTTTGGGGAAGGAGGTGCCAACTGATGTCTCGTGACTTGTCAGTGGTCCAAAATTATGTAGTCAGTCTCCAATATAGCCCACGTACTGTATAAATGCCATAAGCCTGTATTCAGTGGTGTAACGTACACCCCCGCCTCGCAGGGAGGCCCAGAGGTCTAGTGGGTCCAAAGCTTGACTGTCGCCAAGTACCTACCCTTTGAAAAATTCAACTTGGGGGCCCAAAACTTGACTTTTCAGGGGTGGGGAAAATGTTCTCCATTACACCACTTCCTGTACTCTATGGTGGCACTTCAGACTCCTTCGCAAAATAAGTATTGAACGTACCATTTTTGTTGACACTAAATATCCATATATGGAATTTTATTAACGATTTTATGCAGTGGGGTTCACCAGGGCGACATTTGGAGATTCACATTCCATAGCCTAACAAATTTTTAATTTTTAGCACAAAGATTATGTCTTAACACATTCATTAACTTTGTTTTAAAACATAACCCCTTTTCACCCTATAAAAGTAGTTTGTGGGCAACCCTGATCTTATGGATTGAATGAGATGAGACTTTTATAAGTATTAGGTATGATCAAGGACTTCTTAAAGCATTGGTAAACTGGGCGTAGAACCTCGATCTCATGGGGGGTCTCATCTCGACTTGCCCTGAATAAAATCAGGATTCAAATACTTTTAATAGTCAAATGTGTTACATTCCTGGACATAGTCTCATAGTCTCTCCTGGACATAGATATTTCGAACAACATGACGAGATCACTATAGCCTAGTGGTCAAGATTATGAACTCGTGGCTGGCATATCATGAGTTTGAGTCTACTACCGCTGAAGACCTGACGTGCAGAGGAGGCCAATGCACGTTAAATATGTCGAGGATTTAACATCCTCCCTTTGGTGTGGAGTTGATGCTAGGAGAGGTGGGTGCCATATCAGGTTCTCGTCCCTTGACCATGATTCAAAATTACGAGGTTCATCACTAATAGCCCATGTGCAGCTTTAGAGTGGGACGGACACTCACTCACTCGAACTAGAGGACGACAATGGTAAAACTGTATTATTATGGTAAGACTGTCATCCATGTCTTTGTCTAGGTCTACCACCATCATTATTCATTTTGATGAAAGGCGGTCGAGCCGGGTTGTGCCTAAGTTTGTGAGATTGGGAGTGATGCACATTTATTTATATATATTTTTCGGGTTACCAATTGTGTTAGTATTTGATAACTTGTGCGATAAACTGTCTTCTTTTAAGGGTCACGGGTGGGTCTACTTTTGCATAGGAGCCCAGGGCCTCAAGAAGTCTTAACCAGTTAACCATCGTTTGAGAGCGGACAGCTATGTGTGCCACGGAAATCAAGCGAGATGACGAGTATACTCGTCAATCACAGAGTAAATGTCACTGTTAAAATATTGGATAAAAAAGATGGGTTTATACTTGATGAAATTGCCAATTTTATCTCATTAATACTTATTAATTTCGTTATCATATACATATATTGCATATATTACTAAAAAAACTCAAGAAAAATCACAAAAAAAAAAAAAAGGTAAGAATTTAAATTCCTTCTGAATTTTAGTGACCGTCAAAATTCCTGGACTGAGACCTTATATATACTGATTTTTCTCCTTCTTTACTGGCAAAAGATTTTCTACCTGTCTTGACACAACGGAAGTCGTGGAATAGGTGCTGTAGTGTTGATCCCAGTCCTCTTACCAGAAAGCATCCTTGCCGTTCCCATCCCAGTAAACTATTTTTTAGGCAGGATGTCTCATTGGCTATTACTCTAATGTCAGCACAGGGTTCTAACATCAAATAATTGGCATTTACACCTTTCGATAGACAGGTAATATTTTGCCTACAGCTATTAGGTGGTCGAGACATCACGTATTTGCCTCACGGCTGACCATACCTGAAGGAACCCTATTTCAATCAGCTTTCCGACTTTTGCCCTAGCTTCTTTTAGGCTAACTTCTAAAAAACATTACCTTTGCACGTAAATAAATCCGGAATGAAAATTTATACTCTGTTTCAGCCGGTGTATACGGGAATACATGAGTTCATCTTAAATATTTCGTACTTTCTATTTATTTGTTTTACTCCGGACTGGCCTCAAAATATTCTAAACATCTTGAAATTTAAGAATATGTTGTTCTTCTCAAAAATTGCAATTTAAGTAGCCAATGGTCACAACTTTTTACGCATGACGAGTATACTCGTCATTACACCAAATCCTGTAAGTTCTCCATGACGAGTATACTCGTCAATCACAGTTAACTGATTAAGACGTGCCTGAGTGAGGCAAATCAATTTAGTTATGCTATTTGTCTACAGACTGGGATTGCGGTAAAGCAATTTCAGAGTTGCCATAGACTTGTTTCAATAGTATCCTAAAAATTCATAGGAAGACAAATAAATATAATAAATTAGAGTGACATGTGATTCTGCATCAAGGCGGCATGTAATTGAGTATACCCTAGTAGAATAGAGGGTCCGAATCATATTTTTACCAACGAGTCGTCGTACACAAGAGTTGTGTTCATGTTAACTCTGGCTCAAAATTCTCTCATTAATGTGGATGTGAAAAGTGGGGTGCTTATTCAAGCGCCGACCGCGTCTTCCACCTATCCGTGACTTCAAATTACGAAGCATATTAACTGTGGTTAGAGCGGACCTAGGAAGAAATATGCAGTAATAAAAAACAACCAAAAACGATCAATTATCAAATAAGAGTCCCTTTCAGGGTACAGTTTTTTATGTAATGCGAAAATTATATTGCATACTTTTTACACAGACGTAAACCTTACATAAGTGTGCGACAGAGAAAACAACCTGCGAAGACAACACACCTGGATAACGGAAAGTAGGGAATTAAATAGGGCGAAGCACCGATTGACACAATTTAAACGAGCAC